CCCCCTCACTGGAGAGCAGACACGCCCCATAGCCAGAGGGACTGGGCGACACGTCGGCCAGCTGGAAGGGCAACTCCCACCTCTGCATAGGCTCCAGCACCACCGGAGAAGGCATCTCACTGTCTCCATCCCCCTCAAGTAGCTCAGCGTCCCATGAAACCTCTACCCCCACCCCTGTACCTACGCCTGCTCCTGCTCCCACCCCCCTCACCCCTGTGCACCCCTCCGACTTCCTTCTCTGCCTCCGCTCTGTCCACTGCTGCTGCTTCTGCTGCTGCGTCATTCCCCTGAACTCGTCCTTGCCCGTGGTCCCATCTTCCCCCGGCCTGGCCCTCAGCTCATCCAATCCCATAGTACGGACATGCAGCAGTTCGTAGCGCGTGCTGGCCAGCAGGTTGGCCCTAGTTCCCCAGTGAGACCCCCCCACACTGTGTAACTGCAGTATAGGCGCGCCCCGGGTCAGTGGGAGAGAGAAGCCGGGGGGATTTTTGAGCCCCAGGCCTGCAGCGTGGCAGTGCAAGGTGTCTCGCAGCACGAGCTCGTCCAGGTGCGCTCCAGAGGTGTGCGCGAACATCGAGCGACCTGCGTGGGTTAGACAGGCGAGAGTGGAGCGGTGCGGCGGCGCGACCTGCAGGTCCAGCGTGTCTCTCTTGAGCGTCCCGAAGAGCCAGCGGGTAGGCAGGGGGGCCTCTGCGAGGCTGTCTGCGTAGAGGCGCACCTGGTCGTCTGCATGCATGTTGTCGAAGTAGCGCCTGTGCGGACCCTGCGCTCCCGCCACGCCCTCGTCCCAGGAGACAGTGTAGCGCTCTCGGTTGCGGTAGACGCAGTAGGGAGCGGAGTAGGGCAGCGCCTTGAAGGAGGGCTCGGCGGAGAAGTGGGAGAAGATGGAGGGCTCGATCAGGGGTTGCATGTTGTTTGTGGTTGGTTTGTGTCTGCGTCTGCGTCTGTGTCTGTATCGGTGTCTGCGTCAGTGTCTGCGGCTGTGTCTGTGTCTCTGTCTGCGTCTGCGTCTGCGTCTGTGTCTGCGTCTCGGCCTAGTGTCGTCTGTGTGCGTATCTGCGCCGGTGGATTGCTGACCGCATCACCAACGCGGTGTGCATGACTGTACGATCACCGCTCAGACACTGCGGAGGATGTTGCTGCTTGCTTTGTCCACTCCTGCCTTTTTTGTGACTTTCTTGGTGGCAAGGAAAAAAGCAAAAAGGCAAAAAGAAAGCGACCATTGCAGGATTTGAACCTACGCACGAATTTCGTAATGGATTTCAAGTCCATCTCCTTAACCACTCGGACAAATGGCCGAACGCATACATTTGAGAAATTATTCCCAGGAATCTTCTTAATTTAAAGAAGGTATTGCGTGAATGTCGAATTCATTCATCGGACAGGCCATGACATCACTCTTTCCGCCATCATCATCAGAACTCTGCGCCTTCCATGTCTATGCATCTGGCAGGGCACTGCTCAGGAGATTTGCCACGCGGGCGCCAAGCCAGACGCCAAGGCCCAAGGAGCTGGGGGTAGAGGTGCCCTAGCGGCATAGGTACTCCCGCGCCTAAAGATCCATCGGACAGCAACAAGCAGCGTACCCCACAGTGGCATCAAGCAGCAGCAGGCCTTGCAATCTCGCTGTACCCTTACGTGAGATGTCAATGGTGGTCTGGCTATCGGATCTGCGCAGCGCCTACCGAAAGGAGTTGCACTTCTACCGTCAGTACCACCAACACCCAGTGAACTGGCGTATGCACGCAGTGCTCGTACCCGTAGAGTGGACCGCCTGGCTGCTGCTGCTGGCCCCCCTAGGCCTGCACTGGCCCCTCGCCCTGCTATCGGCTGCCTACTACCTGTTCCTAGACTGCCATCTATCCCTGGTATCTGTATTTGTTGCAGCAGCCTCCGCACAGATGCTCTTCGCTCTCACTGCCCACCACGCACACCTCGCCCTCTACGGGTACGGGTACGGGTCTGGATCTGCTAGTGTTGCTGTGGCGATGCAGGCTGTGGCGTGGGTACTGCAGGTGTGTGTGGGGCACTGGCTGATAGAGGGGAATAACCCCGCGATGGCCTCTGCTCTCACATGCAACGCGGTGCTGCTCTCCCCACTGATGGCGTGGGATTATACCAGCACCAAGTGAGCGGGAGTGGGTGAGAGTGGGTGATAAAGTATAAAGTGATAGATAGAGAGAGTGTATGAGTGTATATATGTGCATACGGGCAATCACATGTTGGCGGAGGAGGAGGAGGAGGAGTGGCCGGCAGAGGTACTAGAGGAGGAGGCAGGGGCAGAGTCAGAGGTGGTGGAGGACGAGGATCTGTGGGACTATAGGACTACAGGACTACAGGAAGGAGAGCACGTGGCTCTGCACGTCTCTTGCCACAAGCATGCGAAAGACAGGAGAGACCGGCAATCCCCCCACGCCCGCCGACGCTCCTGCGCGCACTGCACGTGATGAACTCCGAGTGCTGCGGGTGCTGCTGCTGCCGGTACTGGTGCTGGTGCGGGTACCGGTGCGGGTGCTGGCACTGCTGCTGGCCACCCCCTCGCCCCCCGCCCCCCGCAGCAGCCCGTGGCCCCGCAGGAAGAGTACAAAGCTACGCCTGCGCACCCAGCATCGCTCCCTGTACTCCCTTAGCTGCTGCTGTTTGGTGTATTGCCTCGGCAGGTTCCCATTCAAGTCGCGCAGGGCAGTGGCTCCCGCTCTCTCCAGCTGCTTGGCCACTGCGAAGTTTCCCATTGCGTAGGCCGTGTGCAGGGCTGTGCGTCCCTCGGTGGTGGTGGCATTCAGGTGGGCTCCGTGGGTCAGCAGGCAGCGTACGTTTCGCATCACACACTGCTCGAACTCATCTCTGGTATACTCCGGGCAGGGACAGTAAGAAGCCACAGCAGCAATGTACAGCGGTCTGTCGCCGTGTCCGGGATGGTTAACCGCAGCCCCCTTTGAGATGAAATACTCAAGAATTGAGGGGCAATCACCCCTCATCGCTGCACTGTGCAGCGGCGAGAAGCCATTCACGCACATGGCGTTGATGTCCCCCCCGTTGGCGATAATGCTCTCGGCTAGGCTGATATCGGGATCGTATCGCAGGCACAAGAGGATGTCGAGTGGCTGTCCCTCGGAACTGTGGGAAGGGGCCTTTCCACTCGCACCTCTAAGCAGCAGTTCGCGCGCGATGTCCCACCTTCCTCTGCAGAGAGACATCTGCAGAGGAGTGGTATCAGCGCAGATGTAGTTGATGTCGGCCCCTCTCTGCATAAGCTTCAGCGCAAAGTCAGCGGTGGGGAGTTCCACTTCGGCGTAGTTGTGGCTACTGCAAACGCGATACAGCGGACTCTTCTCGTGCGCCTCTACTGTCCCCAACAAACAAAAAAGGGCATTGACGTCGGCTCCAAACTCGTAGATCAGGCCCCACGCTACGTCATAGTAGTGAGCCTCGCAGGCGATGTGTAGCTTGTGCACCAGGACTTCTTCCGTGTTCATATCCCTCTCATTCCTTATGGAGCTGAAGAGTGAGGCAATTGACAGTTGTCGGAGCTGCACCCCAAAAACGACCTGTCCCGTAGCGTCCATGTCTGACCGTTGCAGATTGGAGAGGAGCCAGATGTGATCGTGCTAGATGCCCAGATGCCCAGATGCCCAGATGCCGAGGTAAAGATGCAGATGCTTTAGCCCTAACCCTCAACTCAACTGAGAGAGGAAGTGAAGGCCTTAGGTCTCGGCGACAAGAAAATAGTCGGGAGAATTCCCAGGTTTCTTCAAAAAAGGGAATTATCCCCCCGTGCGCGAGAGGTGATCAATAAACATATTAACAGCACTGTCGACCTCCAACTAAACTTTTCTTCTGCGCGTTACAACATGTACATAAGCTCCTACCGGTTGCATGAGCGGTTAACAAGCTCACTGTCTACGTCTGCGCCTTCTCAGCCTCCTGCCCCGACACCCGTGACATGGTGTTGGCAGGTGTGTGGTGGGGCAAGACTGCACGCACAAAGGCCGTCCCGTATGCCTGTGACACCCCGTGCCTCACCAGCTTCCCCCCCACTTGACCCGCCACACCCCCCGAGCCCACAAAGGCCGGACGACTGGTGGAGTATGCCATCATAGCAGAGGTCTCCGCATCCTCTCCGTAGGGGTTCTTGTTACGCAACTTCTTGTTCTTCTTCCCCCACGTCTGCAGACGCTTGTGCTCGCGCCTGGGCTTAGCCCCGCCAACACTGGCACTTACGCTGGCACTAGCACCCCCCTCTGTCTGTGTCTGCGTCTGTGTATCATCGTCACTGTCGCTATCGTCACAGAACTCGTACCCATTGGCGTCAAGCAGAGTAACAGCTGGTGTGTTGGTAAACCCATCCCCGAAGACGAAGTCCCCCCTCTCCAACTCCATCTGTGCTACAGCCACAGCAGCCGCAGCGGCCGCCTTGATCTTGGCCTTGGTCTTGGTCTGCTGCTCCTCCACCCTATCAGCCACCTTCCGCTTGCGAGCCATGGTCCGCTCCGTCTCGTGGATCCACCGCTGCTGCAACTTGGTGTCATCCCCCCCCCCTGTGCCTCCCGTCTCCGCCGAACCCACACCCTCCGTCCGCACCCCCCCCTCCCCCTCCTCCCCCTCGGGGGGTAGGGCCACGTGCACCAGCTGTCCGTCGTTGAACATCTTCAACAGATCCTTGCACGCCTTGAATTCGTCCCACCTACCCGTGCCGTTCGTCACCAGCCCCCTGGACTCACAGTATGCCCCTAGCACCTCAGCGGGTGTGGGCGGTCTGTCAGCTTTATCTAGGGGGTCTAGGTGTCTGTATATGCTGATGCCCAGTGCGGCCTCGAGTAGGTACTGGGGCACTCTGCTGGCCACCACAGCCGCAGGCTCCTGGTAGTCCCTCATCTGGTTGATGGGCAGGATACCCGCACAGAGCATCTCCCCCGTAGAGCGCATGAAGGAGGGGAACACCAAGCCGGGGCAGTCACATAGCACGATTTCGTCGTTCAGGATCAACGTCTGGAAGTGCTTTGTCTTGCCGGGGGTGGAGGACACGGCCACCCGCACCTTGCCGTGGCTGGACTTGCTCACCCCCAGCAGCGTGTTGATGCAGCTACTCTTGCCCACATTCGGGTACCCAACCAGACCCACGCACACTCGCCCGTCAGACTTGGGGTTGGCCTCCAAGCCTAGCTCATCAGAGACCAGGCTCAGCAGCAGGGTCAGCTCGTGGCGGTTCAGGACATGCGCCCAAGCCCTCTGCCTGGAACCACTACCCCCGCTGGTGGCTTTATGTGCCAAGATAGGCTTCTGTGTGACCTCCTCCTCCACACTCTCCTCCTCCTCCTCCTCCTCCTCCTCGTCCTCGTCCTCTGGCTCCTCTACCTTGCGGCGGGCAGTAAGCGTTGCGAGACGATCGTCGTCCACATCCACATCCACATCCACATCCACATCCTCCTCCACGACAAGTACAGGTGTACCCTCCTCCTCACTCCCACCTTCCTCCTCCTCCTCCTCATCTGACCCCTCCTCCTCATCGCTCTCCTCCTCCTCCTCCTCCTCCTCCTCCTCCACAGCCTTCAGCACCACCTCCACCTCCACCTCCTGCGCCACCTCCTCCATCTCCATCTCCTCCTCGTCCACCATCCCCCCCATGTCCACAACCCCCTTGGCAATATCCGTGGCCAGTTGTCTTATCAGCGTCTCATCCACCACCTCATCCTCCTCCACACCCGCATCCAATTTGCTCTGCTCCACATAGGCTGAATAGAAGGCGAAGCGGATGCCTCTCTTGGTGAGGTAGCGTGCCCACTTGAGTCTCTGGTACTCGGTCAGGAAGTCCGCCTTGTTCAGCAGCAGCATCATCGACCGGCTGGGCTGCAGGTCCGCCACGTACCGCATCAGGTCACGCGTGTAGTAGAGCAGCGGGTTGCGCGCATCCACGATCTGTATCATAAGATCTGAGCGCTCGCACACGCGCCACAGCTGCCTCCACACCTCGAGGTTTTTCTCGAAGGGGGTGACCTTCTTCGTGTAGTCGTCGGCGGATTCGATCAGGTCAATCTCCCTACGCCACCTGAGAAAGGCCCCCTTCTCGTTCCGGTCCACATCCTCTGCCGTCATTTCGCGGTTCCAGGCGGGCTTGCGGGGGATGGAGAGCTGCTCTGCGTCGAATGCGGAGAATGTGAGTTGCTGGATGGACTTGTGCGTGGTGGCTTCGGTTAAGAACGCGTGGTTCTGGTGCACGCGCTGCACCTCCGGCTCCTCCCCCATCATGTCGGTGGTGTCGATGAAGTCGTCCAGGGCGGTGTTGTCCAGGATGCTTTTC